CGCTGAGCAACTTTATTTTCGACATAACCCGGAAATGAGCTAGAGGGAAAGTAAGGTTACATGCTGGCAAGACAATTGGTGTCGTTTTTAGCGGTCTAGCTCTACTGGGTGGGCCACAAACTGTTGTGCAAATTTTGATCACGTGAGCTTTGCTGACCTCTGCAGGTCAAACCGCTGGGGTTGCCACCGAATGGCTAGGGCTGTGGTTTGTGTACGTCTCGGCCTGCAAGTTTCAGTTTGATCTGAGGTTTCCCGAATCTGGGCTGAATCCTGGCTGAATCTGGACTGAATATGAGCTGTCTTGATGGACATTTCTTTCGGTGCCGCTGAATCATTCCAGTTCTACCATACAGGGGCGCACCCAGGATTTTCCAGGGGAGGGGGCCCGGGCTCAAAGGGGCCTCCGTGTTCCGCTTGCCAGGGGGCCTTTTCTCTATCGAGGGGGCCTCCAAATGGCTTACTTTTTGACGGCCTCTGTATGTTTGGTGACGTTCTTAGCGTTATTAGTATAGCTTAACCCTCACCCTGGCAGGGGGGTCGATGCGACCCCCCCTAAGGTTTTTCAAAGATAGCGTAAAATTGGCGGCGCGCAACGCCGCTAAATTTGGCACAACCTATGGGGCAACCTTTTTTCATGTGATCTGCAAATTTCAGGTCCGGTCGACCTTGGGTCAGGCCACCATGTCAGAAAAACGGGTACAAGGTTATGGTCAAATTTAATTTTTTATGTACCTGTCCAACGCACAGTTTTGGACTGATTTCCTTCAAACTTTCAGGATGTGCTAAGTTCACCGAGCTGTATAATATGTAGTTCGTTTTTTATGTCACTGACCTGAGGTCAGTTAGGGGTCATTACGTCGTAATGTTAAGCCTATGGGAAAATATTCAAATAACTCCTATTCGGAAAATATAGAGATGTCCGCTTCGTTGTATCCTTTTTGTTCTTTGATACCACAGTACTTAACATAATGTCACTCGGTGTTTCTTTGTTTGGTGTACTTATCTAAGGTTCAGGTCAAATGAGGTCAACTCAGGTCAAATGACGTTTGTGCCGATAACTTGTCACATAATAGAACAGGTTTCAAAATGGTATCATTCTGTTCCTCTTGAACAGCTGAGTCGAATGATATGCAACATTAAGCATTTCAACCATTCCTAAGACTTAAGTTTTACTTAAGTTGTGCACTTAAGTACACTTTAATACCTACACTTTTAAGTACACTTAAGCAAACAAAAAAAGTATATCATTCGACACGCCTTGACGTGCTGAGTTCACTGGTGCTTTTGTTTTGCTCTATCTTAACCCGCGCCGGGCCGGGGGGTGTTTGAACACCCCCCCCCCCCCCCCGGCGGCTTTTCGCAGCTCCGCGCCGCCGTTTTTAACACACCTGTTCGTGCATCTTTTCCGCACATGCTGTGAAAATTTCAGACCCAGGTCTCTCAAGGTCAGGTCAGAAACAAATTAGAATGTTCGTCATGGCTACACCGACCGCACGATTGCCTTGAAACTTTCAGCGATTGATGAGAGTAACAGTGTATCTCGTGTATCCTATAAAAGCGTGTATAAAAACCTATTAAACGTGTATCTCGGAATTTCGATATCGGTGACCTAAGGTCAGGTCAATTTTGCGGCCTCTCTATTATAATTCAATGGGAGAAAATTGAAAGGCGTCTGTTTTGCACGAACGCCATTCTAGACACTCTCAAACATCGGGATGTAGGTAAAATGGACACACTGAACCCGAAAATTGCACCTGTGACCCGGAGTGTGACCCCTCGTTCTGAGATGTCCCCGAGGTCATCTCAGGTCACGAATAGTATCTAACAGTTTTTTGCTAATAACTTCTGATAGAGGCATGATAGAGCGATGAAAACGCCTTAGATGTGTTCGGCTCGACGATGCGGATCGACTGATATGCAACATGACCTTTTCCGGTCAGGTCCTGAGGTCAAATTTTTAAGTTGACTTTTCAAGGTCAACTTATAGTTCATTCGACGCGTTTTGACAAGAGGAACACGATTCTGGCAAAAGTAATGTCGTGGCTTTTTTGAGTCAGAAGTTATTGCCGAAAAACACTGTTCGTAAAAAACGGCTATTTTTGGAGTTTTTGCCCTCTGGAGGCTAAACCGTTGACCTGAGGTCAAATCTGAGGACATATTGGCGAAAGAGCGTCAAAAGAGCTATCGAATGCGCTTTTCCGCGGCGCTGTAGCTCTATCGGTTCCCGAGTTAGCCGTTGGCAGTTTCCAAAATGTTGAAATAGCCAACATTTTACCTTTGGTGACCTCTGGTAACCTGACCTTTGACCTGACCCAAAAAATGACTGAAGTGTTTTCGTACTTATTTTGGACGCTCTTTTGAATGCCGCTTACCGCGTGTCGCTACGTGACCCAGGAGCCGAGTTAGAAGGGGGGTTTTCAGACACCCCCCCCCCCCGGCCCGGCGCGGAAGTCGCGGAGCACCTGCCCGGCGCGGGTTAATTAGATCAAAAGTTATCAGCGAAAACTTTTGACCTGTTTTAGCAAATTTTTTACAATTATACCTCCCAAAAACCCCTAAATATTGACCTAGAGCAACCAAATTTGCACAGGGACGAGGATTTTAAGAGGGCCACCTACCTACCAAATTTGGTATTTCTAGGTGCCATAGGATCCAATCGCGAGGGGGGTCGCATCGACCCCCCCCCCCCCTCTGCCAGGCCGCGTTATGAAAAATGCCCTGCCAGGGCGAGGCGCTGCCCGGATAGGACCTCTTGTGAAGAGGGGCCTCCTATCCAGAGATGGCCTCTTTCCCAGAGACGGTCTCCTTCCAGAGGGGATCCAGAGAGAGAGTCCTGCCAGAAGGGGCCTCTTGTGCAGAGGGAGCCTTCCATCAGGAGAGGGCATAAAGGGTCTCGTTCAAGAGGCCAGAGGGGCCTCCTGACTCCTGCCCAGAAAGGGCCCCTGTGCAGAGGAAGCCTCGGGGTCTCCTGCCCATAAAGGAGCTCCTGCCAGATGGGGCCTCCTGGCTCCTGCCTAGATAGGGCCCTCTGTGCAGAAGGGAGCGTCCCATCCAGAAGGGGCCTCCTAAGCATAAAAGGTCCTCTGCCAGAGGGGACTCCTGCCCATAAAGGGTCTCCTGCCAGAGGGGGCCTCCTGGCTCCTGCCCACAAAGGGCCTCCTGTGCAGAGGGAGTCTCGGGGCCTCCTGCCCATATAGGATCTCCTGCCAGAGGGGGCCTCCTGGCTCCTACCCAGATAGGACATTTTGTGCAGAGGGGGCCTCCTGACTGCTGCCAAGATATGTCCTCTTATGCAGAGAGAGACTCCCATCCAGAGAGGGCCTCCTGCCCAGAAAGGGTCTCCTGCAAGAGGCCAGAGGGGCCCCCTGACTCCGGCCCAGAAAGGGCCCCTAAGTAGAGGAAACCTCGGGGCCTCCTGCCCAGTATAAGATTTCCTGCCAGAGGGGGCCTCCTGGCTCCCACCCAGATAGGGCCATCTGTGCAGAAGGGAGCCTCCCATGCAGAAGGGGCCTACTAAGCAGAAAAGGTGTCCTGCCAGAGGGGCCTCCTGCCTATAAAGGCTTTCCTGCCAGAGGGGGCCTCCTGCTCCTGTCCAGAAAGGGCCTCCTGTGAAGAGCGAGCCTCGGGGGCCTCCTGCTCATGAATGATCTCCTGCCAGAGGGGGCCTCTTGATTCCTGCCCAGATAGGGCCTCTTGTGAGAGGTGCCTCAAATCCAGAAGGGGCCTCCTGTGCATAAAAGGTCCCCTGCCAGACGGGGCCTCCTGCCCATCAAGGGTCGCTTACCAGAGGGGGCCTCCTGTGCAGAGGGAGCCTCGGGGGCCTCCTGCCCATGAAGGATGTCCTGCCAGAGGGGGCCTCTTGATTCCTGCCCAGATAGGGCCTCCTGTGAGAAGGTGCCTCACATCCAGAAGGGGCCTCCTGCCCATCAAGGGTCGCCTACCAGAGGGGGCCTCCTGGCCTCTGCCCAGATAGTGCATCTTGTGCAGAATTATAGTAGGTTAGGCAGGAAAGTCAAGTGTAAAAGTACCCTAAGCGGTGCTCAGGGGGCCTCCTAATTATGACCGAGCGGGGGGGGCCGGGCCCCAAGGCCCCCCCCCCCTTGGGTGCGCCACTGCTACCATACCTATGTACCGGTTTTTGTGACGAGGTAAACTGAGCCGAAACGACTGGGACTTGAAATTTTCAGGACATGTGTCAAAATAATGCCGCATACGGTGTGCAAAACTTGGCGGATCTATGCGATGCCATTTCAAAGTTATTTGCAAAACCTTACGTACCTAACCTATTCCCCTGGCATTGGCGATGGTCAAGTTTAAAATGCGAAATTAAGATTACATTCGATAAGATTTTTAGTAATGCTGAGTGCCGCAAAGAACATGTGACGCTTCTTGACATCACAACACCAGCTAAAGCTTTGCAATATAAAATGATAAAAAAATGAGCAAAGCTTAAAGGGACCCTCCCACCTTAACATTAGATTTGAGTTGAGATAGCCAAAATGGGGTCCCTGGCTCACAATTACCGGTTTCGGCACTCACAACATCGAGAAATGCCTTAAATCGGAAATATTGAATTTCAAAATTGCAGCATTTTGATTCAGAGGGGCTAATGCTTAGGAATACCCCTCTGAATGTGTGACGTCAGCGCAGATATCTAACGATTTTTTAATGTTTGACTAAAACGTTTTGTAGCACGCGGTGGTATACTGCTATTTGCGCGCAACATCTGCCGCAAACGCCGCACTTCTAAAATAAAGTCGCTAGAAACAGCGGAGATCCCAAAAAAGTAAACAAAAGTAAAAGTCTAATATCTTGAAAACCGGTGAATATTTTTCGGTGAAATTTGGTAGATATTCGTTTTCGCTCTTTCTGAACCGAGCGACATCACTTTCATGCCAATTCATAAACTTTTGTGAAGGTGGGAGGGTCCCTTTAAAACGAGAGTCGAGACCCCAGATTCCAGAATGCTGCTATACAGGCGACTATAAAGTAATGCTTACCGAGTTTGGAGCGCAGTGAAGATTTCCTCGTACTTCTTGGTCACATGAAATAATTCCAGCGAAAATATTCTTAAGTTAACAAATAATTTTGATGGGCAGGTAGCGCCCGCGGAACCCAACCCCAGCGATTTCCGAGAGAACTGCCGCCAGCTGCTAGCACATGGGCAACAAACCAGCAGGTGGTTGCTATGGATAGTGCTGCCACCTGTGCCCGAGATCGACACTACACCTTCACCAATGCACCTCCAGGCTGCGGAGCTGCAGTCAGAACTCAGAATCGCCCGTATTGGTGTTGGGTTACGGACAAAAGTACGTATCGCTAAAGTACGTAGGACAAAAGTACGTAAGCAAAAGTACGTAGGATTAAAGTACGTATCGCAGAAGTACGTACAGTATAAAGTACGTATGGACAAAAGTACGTCTGGGACAAAAATACGTATCGCAGAAGTACGTATGTACAATATAAAGTACGTATGGACAAAAGTACGTCAAGGACAAAAGTACGTATCGCAGAAGTACGTACAGTATAAAGTACGTATGGACAAAAGTACGTCAGGGACAAAAGTACGTATCGCAGAAGTACGTACTGTATAAAGTACGTATGGACAAAAGTACGTCAGGGACAAAAGTACGTATCGCAGAAGTACGTAGGGTATAAAATACGTATGGACAAAAGTACGTCACGGACACAAGTACGTATAGCTAATGTACGTAGGGTAAAAAATACGTATGGACAAAAGTACGTCACGGACAAAAGTACGTATCGCAGAAGTACGTAGGGTATAAAGTACGTATGGACAAAAGTAGGTACGTACGTCACGTACAAAAGCCTACGTATAGCAAATGTACGTAGGGTATAAAGCCTTGGGCAAGACGCCCCAGATAATTTATTTTGCTACATAGGTACCTTCTTTTGTCTCACATCACCTGGAAGGCAAAATTTGTGCTCAATGTGTTCTTTGGACATTTTACTTTAACCCTCGTCGGTCCAGGCCATTTTGCGTCCTTCTACGGCACAAGGGGGGTTGGTACGATCCCCCTCGCGTTTGGCCCCTGATCGAGCTAGAGCTTCGCGGAAAAAACGAGCGTGCTGCCCGTCACGAGAGGAAGCCGATGATACCCAATTTTAAGGTCCTAGGTCATCGGGTGACCTTCCAGGTCAGGTAAATGACCCGAAAACCGGAAAAATCGGGACCTGTTAGAAAGTCGTAAAGTATGGCTGCTATGTGGTTTTCCGGGGTACTGATCACGAATATCGTGTTAGTTTTTATCAGAGATGATGTCTTTAAGCATTCAGACCAGGTCGGGCCAGATCAGGTCAGGTCAACCGGTAGGGGTTGTGTCTGTTGTGACGGGTGTTCGTAATACGTGTCAACCGCCTCTGACAGCTTCGTAACATGTTACGAAGGCACCAAAACTACTTCGTAAATGTTCAAATGGTTGCTAAATTCGAATTCAGCTCCAAAAACTAGCCTAGAAACATGTAAAACTCGAAAAAGTGAACCGAGGTCACCCGAGGTCACCAAAGGTCAATGACCTGACCTGACCTTCAGGTGACCTTGACACCCACCCTAATGTATGGGAGCAGCATCAAATCACATGTTTGAACGTTTGAAACCACGAAAAGCTTGCAAACGCGCGGCTAATGTGAGCCGACATACGCCGAATCGCGATTCCGGCCAAACATGGTCTCGGAAAAGAGGTCACAGGTCAGAGGTCATTTGGGTCAGGGTCATGAAATTTTTAGGGTAGGTGTAAAATTAATCAATGCGAGGGTACTGAAAATGTCGTCGCGATCGGCCGCTTTTTACGCGAGTTATTCGCGAAAAACCTTAGGGGGGTTGCATCTCCCCCCTGTGCCGGCGAGGGTTAAATTCCACCCCTCAAGTTCATTCACTTATGATCGGACTCCCAGCTAGGAAGTGCTTTGTGAAGCAACTGCAAATGGGGCACTTTGCCCCAACCCTATGGCAAAACGCCCCACGGCCTGAGGCAAGAATCCCCATACACTAGATTAACAGAAGAGAGGATCTTTCCCCAGAACCCTGCCAGTTCCGAGAAACATCGGTGAGCGGCGGGGCGACTTGCCCCGGTCTACCCTACGTGTGGACAAAAGTACGTCACGGACAAAAGTACGTATAGCAAATGTACGTAGGGTATTAAGCACGTTCCCCACCCTTGGGTTAAGTTGATCAATGTGTAATACCTTTCTTATTCTTTATTTAATGAGCATTTGTTACAAGGTATAGCAAAATTTCTCGATGAGTAAATGGGCGAAATGGACAAAGCTATATTATTTGGTATATGAATTTGTCATGAGTTCCCTGTAGCATGGCAACAGAGCAGCAATAAAGAAAAAGTGGCTCAACTTACACTACTATACCCTACTTCTAGCATACGTACTTTATACACTACGTACTTTTGCATACGTACTTTGGCGTACGAACATTTGCGTACGTACTTTTGGCATACGTACTTTATACACTACGTACTTTTGCATACGAACTTTTGCGTACGAACATTTGCGTACGTACTTTTGGCATACGTACATTTTACACTACGTACTTTTGCATACGTACTTTTGCGTACGAACATTTGCGTACGTACTTTTGACATACGTACTTTATTCACTACGTACTTTTGCATACGTACTTTTGCGTACGAACATTTGCGTACGTACTTTTGGCATACGAACTTTATCGCCTACGTATATTTGCGTACGAACATTTGCATACGTACTTTTGTCCTACGTACTTTAGCGATACGTACTTTAGTCCTAAAATCATTGGTGTTTTGCCAGGTTTTGCCAGCAGCGAACGTATAAGGCAAGAATGGGAGGGGGAGGGGGACCGGGTCCGCTGGACCACTCTTGCCGTTTCGCCCAGGTGGGTGAAGGCACGTGATCGGCTGAGGCGGTGGGGGGTGAAAATATTTTCGTCATTTAACCTTCCAGGCGGTGGGGGGGGGCATTTTTTTGCCCCCCCTTTAGTTTTTTCAATATATCTCGAGAACCGCTGCGCCGATCGTCACCAAACTTTCAGTAGGGTAAGGTGCCTAATTAGCGACCCCCTTAATTTGAACCGTCATTGCTCACGCTCTGTGGGTGCCACTTTGCTACTAGCTTGATTTTCGGAGAGATCGTTCATTTTTCTATTAAAATATAGTCATTTTCTGCCCCAATATTCACTAACTTATTTGTAGTGAGCATAATGGCAAACCATTGCAAAAAACGCTAATAGGGAACTCTTCCCGATTAGCGACCGGGGAGGGTCGCTAATAAGTCTATGGGTTTCCCCATATTAACCCGCGCACCGACGGGGGGGGCGGATATCCGCCCCCCCCTGAGGTTTTTCGCGAATAGCGGAAAAACCGCGGCGCGTAGCGCCGCGAAATTAGGTATGACTATTCCCTTATCAATTTTACACATGGTGTGCAAGTTTGAACCTCCTACCTTTCAAGGTCAGGTCACCAGGTCACTTTGAATGACCCAACCTCAAGTCACTTTTTTGCAACTTTGTCACCGTGCCAGAGCTACAGTAGATGTCGGAGGCCTTTGAAAGTCGCAGGATGTTATTAGGTCATTAGAAGCTACAATTTGTATATCTCGGAATTTTGATATCGGTGACCTAAGGTCAGGTCAATTTCGCGACCTCCCCATTATAAGTCAATGGGGGAAAAATCAACTCCCTGTTTTTACCACTAAAACGGGTCGGAATGGCCCCATATACCATACATGACTTCATATACGATCAACCTTCACTACCTTGAGGTCTGTTTTGCTGTTGGGCAGCTGTGAGGTCATGTGACGTCATCAAAGGTCACCAAAGGTTTTTGGTCAATAACTCCGTACAGGAACAAGATACAGACGCGTGGATGGTCTCATTGTGTTCAGCTCGTCAAGACGCATCGAATGATATACATGATGACCTCGAGGTCACGTGACCTGAGGTCAACCTTTGACCTTGACCTTTCGAGGTCAACATATATATCATTCGATGCGGATTGACGAGAGGATCACGATGATGCCCTTAGTTTGTTCCTATCTTGACTAATTCGAAAGTTATTCGAGAAAAACTCTCTCCATATTCAGCGCCGCCATTTTGACTTTTTCGACCCCTGTGACGTCATCTTTGACCTGACCTGAAAATGACCTTAGTAAAAATTGTAGATCTTGACCGTGCGTATCCGATGCCGTTTACCGCTTGTCGCTATCTTGCTTCGTTCTCGAGATCTCAGGGGGGGCGGTCATCCGCCCCCCCCCCCCCCCCGTCGGTACTAAGTTGGCGCAGACCCCCGTCGGTGCGCGGGTTAAAAATGGCAAAAAATGCGACGCCTGAAAAGATGAAATATGATCTCAAAAAGGTAACCTATACGCAAAGCACTCAATCACTCGAAAAGAAACGTTTATCCAACACATTTACGTAAGTAAAAACTGATCACGTGATGCACCGAAGGCGAAAAGAAGGCGGGAACACAAATTTTGCGGGCTATCTTGTATGATATTCGAGGTCCGCGCTGAATTCGGCACCCCTGCAGTCAGTGACGACATTTGGCATCCCCATGCCACACATTGCAAGCTTCAGTAACACCTCATTTTCATTTCTCTCTTTTCCCGTTTCTTTCCCTTCTTGAGCTATTTGCGACCATGTCAGGCGCAAATAGGAAATATGAGTTGCGACACATTTTTAACCGCCATGCTGTGCACAGTTGAGTGATTCACTATGGGAAAACGGCAATCAATTAAAAAATGAATGTCGATTCAGAATAAAAAAGGTGCATCATCCTAATTAGAGTTGCAAAATTTCCCTACCGCACTACCGGCATGCCGGTAATTTTTCACTACCGCAGGTTTTTTCGTGGTATTTGGCATGTCCTGCCGGTGGCATGCCGGTATTTTTTTATTTTGCATTATGATATTTGCATAATTTGATTAGATTATGTGATTAAGAACGCTTGTTGTGGTAAATGTGATTGCTGCTCACTGTGCAGTCTTCAGAAACACATTTCAGTAATTCAAGTTCTTTTTGACCTTGCTTTTTGATGAATGTGTTAATGCTTTTTGTAGGCAATACCTCCTTGATTACATGTGATATTTTAACAGCTGTAAACTGGAAATGAGTTTCAAAATTGTGGTATTTGTGGGGCCAACTCAGCCAAAATCAGGTTGCTGGAGTTTTGGTTGGACAATGGGTGGCTG